TGAGTAGAGGGAAAGATCCAACACTTGGCAGTGCAGCAGCTGGCTTTTTCCACTTTGAAAGCTGAGCATGTCACTGTCTTGATAAATCAGGCTTTTGGTTCCCTCTTAATTTGTTCGTCGTATTTATAAGAGGTCACAGTTCCTCTCTCAAAGTCTCTTTCTTAATCTTATTGCTAGCCATGGAAGTATAAGCTATTTCCAAGGAGATCTTCAGCATGATTATACTCTTTCACATTTAAAAGATGAATATTGTCAAAACTCTCATTTTTGTTGGTTTCTCCTAGTTGTTGGGTGAAAATACAAGACCTTAGAAAGTCGGTTCTGATGTTGACACAAACCGCAAATGCCATCTCCTTACCAAAATGATAAATGTAATTGCTCTGTTTAACAACTAACCACTTGGCAATGCAACAAACATGCTTTAAGTGTGAAATAGAAATGATATTTTAGAAAACAATAATTTTAACCAGTTGCACAGGATTTTATGCTAAACAATGGAGTACCCAATGTTGTGATTTAGCACTGCTTTAAAACTGCAGCCACAGGTGGCTGACCCCTCTTTTCCCCATAACACTACTTTGGAGATCAGGCTGTGTAATATAGTAGAGTTATTCTCAAAAATGAGTAATTTCAAATCATTTTGAATCCCATGATGCCGCTTCTCGGCCTACATCTGTTATATGCAATGCACTATACACTGTTGTGTAAACAGATTAGAAGAGTCTGAAGTCTTCAAATTCCATTAGAAGGTGAACAATGTTGAGTGCATGTTCTGTTACTTAGTTGCAGGCATAATCCTTGATCTGCTAAACTGAAAAAAATGTCTTTTTGAACACAAAACCTACCTACCTGGTTTGAAAAGAATCTTGTTGGCTGGGGTGGGAATCCTAAGGTCTGGAGGCTGCATTCGGCCCCCAACTTGCCTGGATCTGGCTCCCAAGCACACAAAATCTACTAGCCTGGGCTCCCCCCACCCCCAGGCTTTGGTGTCTGAGGGGAATGTGGAAAGTATCGTTAACCTTCTTAGTTTTTTGGGGGGGAGGGGAGTTGGTTGTTTTGGTTTTTTGCTTCTCACTTGTGTGCGGCTCCCAACTGATTTTTTTTCTGTGGGTCAGTGTCCCCTGAACCAAAAAAGGTTTCCCGCCCTTGTTGTTGTTCATATAATGCAACCAAATTCAGACTCCCTAATGGTATCTGAATGTCACTGTAATAGAACCACAGATTGTGGTTCAAACGTTCAAACACTGCAGATTTTTTTTCCTTGAGTGATGGGGAGAAGAGAGATGAGATTTACTCATTTGCACCAGCATAAATCAGGAATAAGTCTATTAAAGCCAACAGTGTAGCCAACAGTGTTATGTTTATGGAAGGTAGACCTGAGATTAGAATCAGATACTTTATCAGAATGCTTGTGTTGTTTGTTTAACATAGATCCTAAACAAAGTATCCAAGCAGATTAAGCCACTTTTTATTATTGGAATATATTGCTGCTTTCCTCATGAAATGAAACCTTTACCATGCTGCCAGCACATTGTCCATAAATTCAGTGTGACCAACTCTGGCAAGATCAGTCCTGTACAAAAATGGATCCTCCAGTAGCACAGAGTCCACATGTCCTGCATTCTGCTGCTGCCGGAGGAGACAGGAGTGCAAAGGCCACACCTAATCCAGACTGATTGATGGATACAGTTGGGCCTCCCAGAAACTTTTATCAGCTGCCTTTATGTCAGAGTAGCTAGAAGATTGCTCTAATTTATGCCACATATTGACTGTGCACACTTGTACATGACTTGTATGTGTGACACATCCAAGATCTGTTCTACTACATGGAATGTCAGAGGGCAACACAGCTTTTTTCTCCATAAGACTACCAGCTATGTTAGACTGAACATACAGTAGTCCCCATAGCAGTGCATTAGTGATATGTAATGAGGAGACAAGTAAAAATGGAGAATTGTGCTGGTGTTTGGTCAGAGTGGAAGTAAGGAAGAAATGCTTGGCGGGGGCAAGATTGTGGCTGTGAAAGTGAGGAAACAGCTGGATTGCACTGATTATGTTGGACGGATCAAAGGTGAAACATTCCAGCTGAAGAAAGGAGGGAATTACATTTTGACCTAATGTGCTAAAATAAGATTAACCTTTGTCATCAGCTACTTAATACCTCTCTCTTTTTTTAAAAGATAGAAATGAAAGGATCCAAGAGAGGATAGTAGGACACAAAATGTATATTTAAATGTTTTTAATATAGATTCCTCCCTTAAATAGTCAAAAATATTCTTTCACCATAAAAAGGTCTGATTTCTGTCTAAAACCTTCTGAGATAATAATTGTTTCTCTTCTACTGTTGAATCCTCAGATATGTTTCTTTTTCAACATGGAGATACTGTTGCTCATAGCAACATAAGACAGATGGTTGTCTGTCTGCAACTGTGCCACTGTTCTGTTTATCTTTATGAATTTAATTAACTGCGTAAGACTGCTTAAAACTGTGTAAGACTGCTTCTGCCTCTTTTTGGCTGCAATGAAACACACAGTATGGCATATGTAGATATGTATATATGAGAGTTTATATTTGTGCATGTGTGTAATATATCTGTGTGTATATATTCAAAAACAGGTGGCGCAAAGCCTGTTACCCATACATTTCCAGTCAACGGGGTCATATTCTGTTCCTTAACTTTCTTTAAGTTGAACCTTTTTGACTGAAATATGATTATTTTTGACTGAATGTTTCACCAAAATAGATGATCAGTTTAAGTATGGAAAATAAAGGGGGTATGTAGAAGAAAGCAGCGCGCACACACACAAAACTTCTGTTGCTTCATGGAAACACACACACGATGCAAACACACACCCAAACTTCTGTGACTTCATAGATCTTCAGTTTTAATATGGATGGACTTGTGAAATATGATTTGTGAAGTTGTGCATGGAAAAAAGACCAGGGCTTGAGTTTCTTCCTGAGTGATTATATGTATAATAGGCTATGTCTAGACTACATCTGTCTTTCGAAAGAGGAATGTAAATTAGACATATCGAAATTGCAATGAAGCCGGGATTTGAACTTCCCATGCCTCATTTGCATAATGGCGGCCACGTGTTCTTTTGAAAAAGAACACATTTTTTGAGGAGTACAGGATCTTTTGAAAAGGTTTTTTCGAAAGAACCCATCTAGATGGCAGTTCTATTTTCGAAAAGCCCTTTTTTCAAAAGAACACGTGGCCACCATTATGCAAATGAGGCACAGGAAATTCAAACCCTGGCTTCATTTGCGATTTCAATATGTCTAATTTACATCCCTCTTTTGAAAGAGGCATGTAGTTTAGACATGCTCATAGAGAGCTTTCCACTGCTATTTATCAAATAGCAACAAGTACTGAAATGTCTCTTCATTTTTATTTTCAATTCTGTTTCAAATTTAAATTAAAAGAACATTGCAAAATGAAGACAGCAATTGCTAAAATCAGGGTTTTCCGTGCATCTTTAATTCTTCCCCTTATGCATAAGATTATGTTACAGGGCCTGGTTCTGTTTTCAGTGGCTCTCGTTGAATTCAGTGAGAACAGCACCCGTGAAACTGACAGCAGAATTTTGCCCACAGTGGTTAGTTCCATTATCAGATATTACTTTGCAAAACGATCCCTGCCTGGTTTAGTGCACATATAGATGATACACAGTGAATGAGGCAGCTGTTCAATATTTATTTTTATTGTCATTCATTGTGGCCCCATGTTTCAAAGAGAACACGTTGTACAAATTGTTCTATGAATAAGAATTGTTTTCTTTTTTGGAAAACACTTTCTTTTTGCACTCATCACCACAAGAGCTGAGAGTCTCACAAGCATTTAATTAATTTGTTCTCTTGCATTCTGAGGTGAGGAAACTGAGGCAGAGTGGTTTACTGCTGGCAGTGGTTTACTGCTGACATTATGTTCTGTGTAGTTTTGAGATGTGTGAGTAACACATTTGGGTAAATATAAATAGGATTTAGGGAAATATTTCCCCCTACTATGCTGAAATAGTGTCTCACCCACTGAGTGCTGTGATATACAACATTTCCTTTTCATTCTGTGCATCCTATGTTTTAATCTTAAGAAGAAAGATACTTAGGTATGTTTAAGAATTTCAGATGAAATGTACATATTTTGAATGAATAGCATTTGTCTCTGGGTAGATTTGTCATGTCTTGAAATTCACCCTTATACAGAGAGACAGCAGGAGGCTGATAGATAACTTGAGCTTCAAAATAAGGCTTTGGTGGGATTTAATTGGTACATTGGCATCCTCTTGTCCTGCCCCACAGGTGAACATCTTAGAATATGGTGAAGAAACGTTCTTTTTTTGTCCACAGAAATTAAGACTCCCCAACTTGAGAGTATTTTTCTCTCTGTTTATGTCTAACTCCTGTAGGGTGTAATAAGATAAGCCCCAGGAACCTCTCCATCAGTAGGTAACAAATTATGAGAGTTTATTCATATTCCCATCACCCATTTACTGTCTTCTGCAGCAAAGTATTTGTTCTGGCTGAGCCAAGCAAGAGCAGGCATCTCCCTTCCTTGAGAACTCAGTGCATAGTAGGCTCATTTATCCCAGCCCCTCCCCCTTCACTCCTCTTCCAGTGTCTTTTCTATACTCCTCATCTGATGGCTAAATTGTTTTAGTCTGTTCATATTGTTGGTCACATATCCCCTATCAGCCTTCCCTATAGGAGCTGATTAGTGCCTAAGTGATCAGAGTGCTGGCTCATTTATTAGCCTCCAGCATTTTGTCACATAGGACCCCTATTGAGGTAACCAATGATTTCAATGGGCAGTAGAAGACTGAAATGTTCTGCAGGAAAAAGAATGCTTATTTCTAGTAGATGAACTTGATTTTAAAAAAGTCCCAATTAGGTAACTTTAGTTTTGAGAGCAGAACTTTATTTTGTGGGTATGTTTGCTGCCTGTTGAAAATATTTGGAAATGTTTCAGAAGTTTCCCTCTTCCTCTGTTCTCTTGTAGATGGATGAGATAAAAGGCAAAGACAGAGTGATTTTGGCTTTGGAAAAAGATCTTGGTGTCCAGGCAGGCCATGCACAAAAGCTGCTGCTTCAGAAAGAAGCTTTGGATGAACAGCTTGTCCAAGTAAAGGAGGCAGAGCGGTACCACGGTAGCCCCAAGAAGGAACTTCCTGCTGGAGTAGGGGATATCTCTGAAATGATGGGAAGCCTGGTAAGAGAAGCAGATAGTCTTCATAGGTCAGTTACTGTATCTGCTTTCACAGTATTTCCTGTAATGTTGAATCCTTGCCAAAGGAGCATTGCATTGTTAACTGCACCGTACATTGCATTGTTACGGTAAAAATAGTGCCACTTTTTTGCGTTTTTTTCCAATCTGTACTGTGGTTCTATCATGTAAATATGTACTCTACCTTGCTATTAATTTTGGCATGAAACTGAAAGAGTGCAGTACAAAACATAAATAGTAGGTCTTTCTTTCATAATTTAAAGATTAATTTTTTTACATGATATAACTTAGAGTTCATCTTCTGGCTGCTTGCCCTTTTTCAGCTTGTGCAACCATGTGACTCTTAGAAGAAATATTTGCAACAGTTTGTGTCAATAAAAACAATTCTGCAATCAATGATACAATCATCTATAGATATTCTCTATGATATCTGTGCTGTACGCATGCACTGAATGCAAACTCTGCCTTCTGTAATATAAGTACATGTTTCTGGTTAGTAAATGAATATTTGAAGGAAAAAATTACTTTTTGGTTTGTGTTTTTAAAGGAACAGCATATGGATGAACGAGACATACGAAGATTTCAACTAAAAATTGCTGAACTGAATGCTGTAATACGGAAGCTGGAAGACAGAAATACCCTTTTAGCAGATGAAAGAAATGAACTGGTAAAATAATGAGCAGTATCACAGATGGTGACTTACAGGACCATATTTTAATGATACTCTGAGAAGCAATGTTTTAGGCAGAGTTTAACTTCTTTCTCAGTTGCTAACACACTGCTATATTATAAAACTTAACACATTGTATTAAATATTCCTGTTTGGTTGATTTTCCTTTCTTTATTTCTTGTCCCCCCGTTGCATAGCCTTTCATCACATGTATTCTATGCAAGTAGCTTGAATCAAATATTCACTGTTTTCTTTCCTTTGATTCTCATGAGGTCTTTGTCTTTTATTATTTTTTAGTTGTACTTAATATGTATATATTCTTGGAAGAAACTGTGTCTTTTTATACCCAACATAACCTCAGTAGAGGTCATCAGCTGAAGTTAAGATGTTTAATTATCATGAAAATTCACCATTTCCTTCTTCACCATTCTGCATGTCTTTCCCATGAATAATTTTTTCTTTTCTTTATTTCTAAGGTGCCTTACGCTGTGGTAGCTAATCATCCAGCACTTTGAAACTGCTGGTATAGAATAAGAACAGTGTTATGCCATTTTCTTAGTGCTTTTCCTTATCACTGAATGGTTCATTTGGGCACAAAGATGAAACATTTGTGGGGTTCAGAACTAAATCAGTTGCTCTGCCAGGCTATCATTCCTTGTAAAAGTCATTTTCCGTTTTCAGAGATATTAATGGCCTGCAAGGGGATGTGAGGACTGGCATTGTCCCTAAGGTGAATTTAGTTTGAGACCCCTGGTTTGTTCAATGACTCTTAGTACCTCCACTGTACAAATTGTTCCAATGCCACTGGAGCTGCATGTCTGTTTTTGAAGTGATTCCAGGCATTTGGCATGATATTATATAACATGCTCATCATGTGATTTATACCGTATTTGACTGTTGTGGATACAAGGTTTTCAAATTGCCTTACAGTTTATCAGTTTTAGGCTATTGTTTTAGTATTGAAAGGCTCTGCTTTGTGATGAAAGGACTTAATTGAGCTGACACCTTGACTTAATTTACATGAAAACTTTTAAAAGAGCTAATTTGTGGAAGGTTTTCTCTTCCTTTATTTATTTCTGAGTAATGAAATATCTGTCTTAAAAGACTAACTTACCTTCCATAACTCAAATGTTACCCAGCAAAATCCAGTGCTCTTTTCTTCCCTCCCACCTATAACTCTGCATTTTGTTTTCAAGCAACTAGACCATTTTTGTGTTGAATCTGTCATAGTAGATAAATCTTTGAAGTGACAACGTAGGGAAAACCGATAGCCACTCTGATGCAGTGAGCCACTGAACCCTCAGGTGTGTTGTCACTGTGTCCAGACACTCCTGTCATTGATATAGGGGACTTGGTAACAGGACCTGATCCAGCTCCACTGCATTTGGCACTAGAGAGGCCTTCTACATGGTTTTTGCCACCCTTCTTGTTGTTGAGGCACTTGAGCACTTTTGGGACCACTGAGACTGCCACTGCCTGTGATACTGGCATGCTCGGTACCAATGATATTATCGGGTGGCACCAATTCCTGCCCAGTTCTGTATGATAGATGTATTGGGCATCATTCCAATCTTGTCCCCAATATTCCAGGGCGCACATTCCAAGTCAGGGTCATCATCTTCTCACTCAGCATCACCTGACAAGCTCTGAGAGCCACCAGTGCATCAATATGGACCAGCGTTAACATGTACCCCTGGCTGGGGCAGAGGTCCCTGATCTGGCCCTACTGGCCCACCAATGTTTATGCCTTGTTGGACTCAAGGATGCTCCTTGCTTGCAGAGATCCTGCTCCTTGTCCTGATCTAAGCCTGAGTCACCCACTAGGTTGACTGGGAGGCTGGGGTGACTGCTAATCAGGCACAAGCCCAAAAATTGGTAGTTTTCCTCACTGCAGACCCACCAGAGTTCTTCCTCCTGGGTACTTCTTCCTGGGAGCAAGAGCCAGTTTGACTCAGCAGAATCCCTCATCCTTATTACAGGATGATGCCTTTCAGCCTAGTTCATCTTCCCCTTCTAGTACAGAGGATTTAAAGGCATTCCAGAATCTTTTCTGCCAAGTAGTTACATCCATCAGCATCCAGGTAGAGTTTCTCCAGGAGAACATGCTCAAACTGCTAGCCATTCTGCAGCTTGCTGTCCTGGGAGAGTGGCCTTCCTGATTAAGGCCTTGAACTGGCACAAGCCCTCTGGAATACACTAGACTCAGTACCACCAGTGATTAAGTGTATGGAAAAGCACTATTTTGTTCCTTCTCAGGAATTTGAAGAGTTCAGTTTCCAGCTCATCTGAAGTCCCTGATTATAGTGGCAGTAAATCACAGAGTGGAACAGGGTATGTTCATGTCTACTGCCAAGGGCATTATCTTTGAAAACTCGTGGTGATCAGGGAGGTCCTGGACAATTGGAAAAAGGGAAATGTAATTTGTATTGTTTTGTTCTAGCTATTCATTACTTCTTTCCTTTCAGTAATACCTTGCTTCTTTTATCTGATGTACTATTGGGAGAAAAAGGTTATTCAGTAACTAGGTCACTTCCCCAGAGGTTATTTATCTTTCTTCACACCCTTAAGGAATGCTAAAATACTCCAGACTGAAATCTTTGGGGTCTATTAAATTAAAGTAGGATCTGGGGCATGTATGACTCAATCAAACACCCTCTTCTGAATGCCTGGCCTGAGGGCATCATCAATATTTCTTAAAAAGGTAAAGCATGCTTTTCCATATGAGGCGGCACTTTGTACACTGCTGTACTTGAATCTTATTACAAAAATGAATGTCCTTCTCCAGATGGCTCAAAAAACAAATCTTTAAGAAATGTGTTATCTTCCTGAAGTTTAATATGTGCTGGGCTTTCATTGAAAGTTGTTTTGATGATTTAAAAAATAGGGGAACTGAGCAGTCAAAGGTTTATGAAGATGAAACTAGTAAAATACTGAATGCCTACAGATTGGGGAAAGGGCAGTAATTTACTTGAGATGACTGTCTCACATCATAAAACCATGGAAACAAAACTGAGAAGCTGAAAATGCCAGCACAGCCCGGAGATTGAATCTGTGCCCTCTGGCTGACTCCCTGATTTCACTAATTACGCATGAGGTATAATTTTCTTAAAATAAGGGAGTGTGGCATATTTCTAGTAAAGGCAATTGAAAAGAGTGAAAGGTAACTGTCATAGTTTGTTCTTTAGGAAAATGGATAATAACTCAGTGGATGCACCTGCATAATAAGATTTACAGTTTATTGAGAGACCATGGGAAATCTGTGTGCTTCCTAAGAACAAAATGTAATGTAAATGGGAAAGTCCAGCCGTAGCAGTCTCGGGGAGGTTTGCAGCCTGCATGAAAGTGCTTCAGTTCTGTTAATAGTGAATACTGCATTCTTGCCATTACTCCAGCCTGCTTCCGCTTCCATGTTAGTTTCACTTGTGGTAACAAGCTAAGGCCCTAAGTTTTTAGATGCTTACAGTATAGTGCAGCTGCAGTGTGCAGGCAGAAAAAAGATTCTCTATCAATGAATGAAAGAGAAATAAAGGCAAAGTGAAAACTCATGTTCCTCCTCCTTTCAAGTCATTGTAGCCCATATTATTATGATCAACTGACATTTTGGGCTTCCTCCCCCCTTGCAGCTGAAACGTTCCCGGGAGACAGAAGGTCAGCTGAAACCCCTTGTAGAGAAGAACAAGAGGATGACCAAAAAGAATGAGGACTTGTTGCAGTGTATCCAGAGGATGGAAGAAAAAATAAAAAATCTCACAAGGGAGAATGCAGAAATGGTAAGCAGCTAGCTCATATGTATCAGAGGTAGATTAGAGTTGAACATTGTGTGGCTCTTACTCCAATAAATGCTGATACACCAGAACCTAAGCAATATGAAGATGTCAGTGTCAAATATATTATGCTAGGGATGGGTAATATTCTAAAATCAAAGCTATTATTTGCTTTGTTATTTATTATACAAAATTAATTAAGAACAGGATCATCGAAGCTTTCATGTCTCAAGCTCATTTGGAAGGCGTACATTATAGGACTTAAATTTACCTTGGCATATAAGGGATTTTGCATGTATGTGTATGTCAGAGCTTAATTTGATCTGTAGAAACTAGAGATGGAAAAGATCCTCTTCAGGATTGATTCCTGGCCCAGAGTATATTCTTCAGTTCTTTCTCCATCCTAGTTTTAGATGTCCAAGTGAGTGGTTTGTGGGAAAAGGACCTTATGGTGTACTGGGACAGATTTCTGAAGCATAATATCAATGTATCAGAGGTGTGGGTTTTACGTAATGCATCAGGAAGACATTTAAGACTTGGTTATGTTAATAATAAATTTGTTTTTTGCAGAAAGAAAAGATATCTACACAGCCAGCTTTGAAGAGGCACACTTCCCTGAATGATCTCAGCAGCACACGAGAGGAACAAGAAATGGAATTCCTGAGACTGCAAGTCATAGAGCAGCAGCATGTTATTGATGATCTCACAGTGGTAAAATTAAACCTATTCAGTACTCACATGTGCATAAACCTACATTCACTCCTAGCATTTGAGAGCCATATTCAAGTTAATTTGGATAGAGCACAGGGTAGAACTGCCAGTGTTATAACATGAAAGAGTTCTTCAGCATTTTGGTTATTCCCTTTGTAGTAAATGTATGAGTTTCCAAAAGAGCATCTGTGGTCTTATTGCCACCATACCATGTAGTAATCTCATAACTTAGACCTGCGTGGTGAGTAACTGAAAATTTGATTTCCAAGCTACTGCAGAAAACAATATTGAAGATTCAGCAAGTAGTGCTCTTGATTGCATCATTAGAGATCTAGTGTCTTAACATGGCATTAGGGGAAGTGATCCATGAACCTGAAGTCTTGATTGCTAGTGGTCAAAGCACTTACAATACTATTTGTAGGACAGGGGGCACGCAACATCTGTGTCTTGACCAGTTTCTAATGTGAGTGACTGGATTGAAAACTCCCTCAGTCGTATTGTCCACTTCCTACTCTAAACTCTACTCAGTCTTGCTGAGTAACCTGAAACATCTGCTCCATTTCACCCCAAAAGTTGTCACTTCTGGGTGAAAATGAAGTGGTTCCCATATAAGTTTGTAAAATGCCTTGAGAACTGTCTGAATTAAAGGTGCAATTTAAGTTACCATTGTTCTGAATTGCTGGTGTATGTTCCCAAATTTTTCCTCCTGGAATTGTGTTCTGGCAGAGAAGGATCACTTCACCATTTCAAAACAACCATTTTACCAATGGTAGTTTACTATTCTTCCACTTTACAGGTTGAAATACTCAGAAGAGGCCCTGAGTTGATATTCCAATGGATTGTAGTTCAATATCAGTAGATAAGAGACAGCTGCTTTAGCAGCAATTAGAGTTAGAAATCTAAAATCACTGTAATCCATTTAAAACTGAAAGAATCTCAAGGAATGACACAGGAATTAGTCGATGAGAGTAAAACTGGAAAGAGTAACAGAATTAGGATAAAGGGAGGGGACTAGCAGAGTAAAAAAGGATTAGAAAAGAAATTAGGAGAGAGGATCAGTTATCTCTCAAAAAATATATTTTGGCCTTGGAAAGAGTTCAGAAAAGGGCAACTAAAATGATTAGGGGTTTGGAACGGGTCCCATATGAGGAGAGGTTAAAGGGACTGGGACTTTTCAGTTTAGAAAAGAGGAGATTGAGGGGGGATATGATAGAGGTATATAAAATCATGAGTGGTGTGGAGAGGGCCGATAAAGAAAAGTTATTTATTAGTTCCCATAATAGAAGAACTAGAGGACACCAAATGAAATTAATGGGTAGCAGGTTTAAAACTAGTAAAATAAAGTTCTTCTTCACACAGCGTGTAGTCAACCTGTGGAACTCCTTGCCAGAGGAGGCTGTGAAGGCTAGGACTATAACAGAATTTAAAGACAAGCTAGATAATTTCATGGAGGTTAGGTCCATAAAAGGCTGTTAGCGAGGGGATAGAATTGGTGTCTCTGGCCTCTGTTTGTCAGAGGCTGGAGAGGGATGTCAGGAGACAAATCGCTTGATTATTCTCTTTGGTCCACCCTCTCTGGGGCACCTGGAGCTGGCCACTGTCAGCAGACAGGATACTGGGCTAGATGGACCTTTTTTCTGACCCAGTACGGCCATTCTTATGTTCTTATGTTCTTATCTTTTCCTAGCATCCCTGTTGTCCCTTTCTGCCTATTACCTTCTTCTGCTTCTCCCTCTAAAGGTCAAGTCAGTATTTTTTGAGTGAATGATCACAAGATCTAAAAGTCTTAAGTGTATCTGTGACCTTCTTATGTTACAATGTAGATTTGCTACAGTCTTCTTCGAAACTGATGCTGAAAGAGATCCACTAGGTATTGGGATGTGTTTGATCAGTAGCCAACAAACTTGAGCTTCCTGCATTCAGAATTACATGCTGCAAAGATGAATAATTAGTGCCTTACTGTCTTAACACTTCTGCCCTTAGAAGGCTGAGCAGTCTACATTATGTGTTTCTTCTTTTTATTTAAAAAAAAATTCATCAAACAAAAAATACCTTTTTGTCTGTGTGGTTCTGTGTCTGTCTGAATGTATGTGAGTCTGATTTATGATTAATAAAACTGGGCTAATCTTTGCTGTTGACCTTCAGCCTCAGAAGAGTAGGGTACAGTCTTGTTTCTTAATGGGTGGTTCTAAAATCTTCAGAGAAAAAAATAACTGTCAAAAACCTGTGCCCAGTACATTACACATCTTTGCCTGCCAATTTCAAGATCAATGTGTGAAGTATGTTGCTGAATGTTCCTGAGCTTCAAGGGGAAAACTTCTATTCTGTTTTTGTTGAAATAGTACAAGAAGTCTTTACTGTTTGTAATTTTGATGTATGGTTTAAGACAGGTGTGGGGAACCTTTTTTGGGTCGGGGCTGCTGACCCACAGAAAAATCAGTGGGGGACCACACACAAGTGAGAAGTAAAGCAAAGAAGCCCCTGACTGAGAAGGAGAAAGACACTCCCCACATTCCCCTCACACACAGGAGCATGGGGGGCCCAGGCTAGTGGATTTTGTATGCTCCAGCCCCGGGGGTGGGTGTCAGGGGGCACTGAAGTTCCTCACCCCTGCTTTAAGAAAAAAATTAATAGTGTTTCCTTTTGTCATGTGTAATCTAAATACATGGTAAAAATAATATCTTCTCTTTTACTTTAGGAAAGAGAACGGTTGTTACGTCCTAAGAAACCAAAAAGGAAAAGTTTGAAACCTCCAAAGGTGAGAGTCTGGTGTGCCAGCTATTCCGTATCTTATGAACGTCATACTAACATTTTGGACAAAATATAGGTTCCACTGAAGCCAATGGCAAAACTCCCATTCACTTGAATGGGGCCAGGATTTAGTTCATTTTTTTAAATGAATGATAATTAATACTCCCTAAATGTATGTTCCTAGCCAAAGTTTTCTGTGACACACACATTTGTTTAGGCAATTGTAGATTTTGTTTTATTGTATACATTCAAATTCTAATGGTTGTTTTATTGTAGTAATATATTTTTATGTAAAGAATTCTGCTACAAAATCTTTTCTGAAAAGCTGCTTGCTAACCTGTATGTGCATGTGTACACAATACACATTTGTGGGTTAGCACAAGTGAGATTTAGCGTCATTCTACTTTAAACAGAAATAACACTTGCTTTATAGTATGTTCTTGATGGCATACTCCATGTCCTCATGGTGGCGCTTTTTTATTACTTGCTGCTTTATAGTACAGTATATTGGTTCTGAAAGAACAGCTTCAAATATACACTTAGTTCTGTATCTCACTAAAATATTTTTAAACAGTGTTCATAATTTTGCATTTGTGTTATATAGAGAAAATAGTTTTAAAGGAATCCATAAGTGTTGCAAATAGTTGGTATAGGTTGAGGTTACAGCAGAGAATAGTTTCAAAGAAATCCATAAACTTTGCAAAAGCCTGATGTATGTTGAGTTTACCACAGATTTTATCATTCATGCTCAGCATAACATAATTGTAGGTTTATTATGGCAGAGATGAAAATGGAGCTCTTTAAAAATAAAATGAATGTTTCTATATTTGATCATATGTTTGTTATGAAAATTCGACAGTGTTGTGCAATAAAATCCCTGCACTGTTTTAAACTGTAGTCTTTAGGATTATAAAATACTTGTTTTTATTAAAAGTTGTTTACTATTTTCATTTTCTTTCAATGGGATGGCATTAGCCATTGTATGATACTAGGAATGTCAGTAATGAAGGAAAGATGCTGCTAGGTTCTGTGATACTTTAATTACTGCAAAAATCCTGTGTTGATATAATCGTACATTACCAAAACATAGTAAAATCACCTTGACTCATTGTTATGCTTGAACAAAGCACATGAAATCTTTTATAGGGGAAAAGGCAGTACTCTGCATTTATTGAGAATACAACAGTAGCTTTTCAGTCACTCACACGCACAAACACAATACCCACAGTTCCGCCAAACAATGTTATAGTTACCAGTCCAGAGTCTGGATCAATCTAGTGGTGAGCCAGATCGATCACAGAGGGGAAGCCGGGCTCTGTCGGTCGCGAAAGTTCTGTAGCAAGTCACCCTGTTTTTATTAGCCTCTTCCCCTGTTGAAGTCTATGGATTTCACTGTGTCAGTCTGTGACCAGTTACAGTTATCTTTTGATGTTGACATTCCAAACATCTCCAAAAAGCTCATTCTGTAATCAGTAGTCTTTTGGGGGTGCTCGCTTCGCTTTAGAGTCGTCAGTCTGCCCCCTGTGATCAATCCTTGACCATGGGTACCCACTGATGGTTTTTCTGATGCCGATGAATCGGTCTTCACCCGGTTACCCCCTTCTTTCCTGGCCATCTGGCTCCGACACTGACCTTCACACCTTATCTTTATGATGATAAATTTCTCATTCACGCAAATAGTCTTTCTCACAGAGACTTTCAAAGGTATACAGATACAGTGTTTATAAAAAGCAAAAGCAAAAGGCACTGTAAATTAAATCTTAATCAAAACAATTCATATTAAGGCCTTCAATATTTCTAATCTCATTAACGTAGACACAATACCAAAACTCTGTCTTTTTACTTACTAAACTCACTAAACTTTAAAACAAAAAAATATATTTAACTAAAGGGCTTCATTAATAAAACATTAAATATATTACCCTACATTACTACATTATTAAACCTAAAATGCAAATATAAACTTACTCCAACATAATTCTTCTTATATATGGCATCCTTTCCTTGCCCCTCTTTGGTTGTGAGCTCCTATTTTTCTGTCTGGAATGTGCATAGCATATTGTGGGTGCTGCTGTCTGTTTACTCTGGCTTATCAAAATCAGATTTAGAACAGTTTGACTCAGAAAGCAAATGAGGTTTGCTATTGCTTAGCCCTCATTATTCCAAGGAAAACTCGGTTGGTCTACTATTGTTCTGACCACATTGTACCACAGTTGTTGATTGAGTTCTGCAGTGATAACGCTGAGGTTGTGGGGGTTTTATTTTTGGGTTTTTTTGGCTATATATGATTGTCCCTGAATATATTTTCCCCAAAACAAGATGCACCAATATGTCTTGTCCTTCAATATGTTTTGAAGCAGGGAGTTTTGCTGGATTAGGAGAGGTCAGTGCTTCCCTGGTGGTTGATCACTCCTGGGCTCCTCGTACTCGGGTTCCCTGCCTTGCCCTGACCCCTCTAATGCTTTCGTAGCAGGGGCGCCTCATGCTGCTGCCTGCAGGCTGCCTCAGTGTCCCCCTGGACTCTCAGCCTGGACCGCTTGGCCGCTAGGGCTCTGCTGGCACAGGGTGTTCCCCAGGATTCCCCAGAAGGGGTCACGAGCTACCCCACTCCTCTGCTAGGGCCGGCCCTGTTGCAGCCGGCAATTCCCTGGGGTTCCCCGGCAGAGCCGCCTGCCTCTGCCATCTCCACTTCAGCCGAATCACTCTCGGCCGGCACTGCCCAGTCACCCCGGCCCTACTGCTACCAGGGGTTTCCTGGTGTTTCAGCAGGGGCTACCTTTCTGCCACTACCCCTGCTCTTGCCGGTGCTTCCCTGGCTGGGCCTCTCACTGCCGGGAGCCCTCTGCAGCCAGGTGTTCCTCAGCTGGGGCTGGGACTCCCCAGTTTCCTGGCCTAGCTGATGCTTAGGATTCTGTTGCTGGGGCAGGGAGTTTCCCAACCACACCTGCCCCATTGAAGTCAGGGGTCCCCTGGCCAGGTCAGGGGCTCCCCAGTTGCTGTCTGGCACAGCTACTGTTGGTCCAGCCTGAGCTCCCCAGCTCCCACATTATCTCCCACTGCTGCCTCCAGTGCTCTTTGGTAAAGCAACACCCATGGCCGTGCCAGACCATGGATATTGCCGGATCAGAGAGACCCAGATTTGGAAGGTTCAATCAGTACCTGATTTGGGAAGTGGTAATATTACCCGAAAAGGTAGTGAAGACAAAAATCATGACCTAAAATATTCCAATTCCCCCCACGTGCATGCACACACTTGTGTTTTTAAAAGTCCAGTCAGTGTGTGCTAAAGGAAGAGGCCTCTAAATTATAGATTGTTAAATAGATATTTAGGAGCATTTGCATTATCTTGCTGATTAATATTTATAAATGGCTGCTGACTAATTTGTCTTCCAAATCTGTGTTGGTGTTCTCAAAAAGATAGAATTATTCAGTATTCTGCTTTCTGATTACTTCTGCCCCACCAGCCTTAAGTGAGCAAAAGTATCATTGGGGTTTCTCTACTGTTTTAGTACAAGTATAACTACTACATCAGGAGGAGACATCAAATATCAAGTAGTAACTATAATTACACATTCCACATGCAATACAGAATATTATTTCATACTAACTTTGAAAAGCAAAGGTTGAATTGTAAATACTAGAATAGTGATAAGAGGGAAAAAGTTGTGGAAGGGGAAATAAGATTTAACTCATTTTCCCATAATTAATATATTTTAAGCCTTAGAACACTGGTTGCACCTGAAATGTTAAACACCTGGATAAGTGGCCAGTATCTACTATATCTAGGGAGTCCATGTGGGTGATATAGAAGGAGAAGGAAATTCAGGGTTTGTAGCTGGTGAAGGAATGGGCCAAGTCTGATAAATACTCTCTGGTTCTGCCTCAGTAGGCCAGGGGGCAGCAGAAGAGGTGTGGCATACAAAGCAGAGCCAGCTAACAAAAGGGAGAAGTGAGCCCTGCTCATGGGAATTGTGATGGGGGAATAGAAAATTATCTGCCTTACTTGAGAGGAGCAGATGCTGGGTTTTTTGGCGCTTCTTGTGGGAGGAGGGAATTTTGGTGACTGAGGGAATAGAAGTGTGAAAGGAGGCAAATCTCATGGGTAAGGCTAAACCAAGGATGAGAGAAAACATGCTTACACAACTCATTTCAGAGTTTGTCAAAAAGTGGTAAATGGGTATTTGGGAAATTTGTTCAATTTTGTGATTTTTTTTTTATAGCAAAAGCAAAAACTAAAAATTTTCTCTTTTTCTTGCTTTGTCACCTTCTCCTGCTCCCTTCTTTCCCTTTGTTCCTTTTTCTATTTTGCCACTGAAAAATGGAGAAAAAGGAGGAAATTAATAATAAAAAACATTTTACTAAAGGCAAATAGTTTGGATGAATACTTTTTATTTTGAAAAATGGTGCATTTTTTATTTTTAAAAAATTAAATATTTTCATCAGCTTGAGTTAAAACCCACAAATAAAAGCATGACTGTCCTAAGGGTTTGATACCTTGAAGTTCTCAAGAATAGGTTTGCAAATGTTCTAATAACTGTCCATATTGTCATAAAACCTGTGAGCTGTTCTTTCATGCATGCAGCATTCACATAGAGTTCTTATATGCTGTCAACAATCACTTCATAATTCTAATCCTGGCAAGCAGTCTAGATTTCTTCCAGATTCCTTGCATAATAATTGATCCTTTCACATTGTCAGAATGTTTATTTAGACCCTCAGTTCCCGATACTGTTTGTCCTTAGTAGGAAGGTCAAAATAAGGGAATAACTCAACATACTAATAAGAAGTGATTATAAGGTAGGGGGGAAAACTATAGAAGGAGTCCTCTTTCCCATGTCTGCTTCGCAGTTTCCACATACAGGCAGTCCCCGGGTTACATGGATCCAACTTACAGGGTGAGGCAACCCCGCACTAGCTGCTTCCCCCCAGCAGACCAGGGAGACGCAAAGCTAGCACCCCTCCCAGCCGACCAGGGAGACGTGGAGCGGCTTTTCTCAGCAGACACCT